CCCCCCCCCCCCACCTCTCCCCCAAAGAAACATTTTTGCTTGACAATCCTTTGTACTCTCAACAGAGAACTTTGTGGACAATTCCTGTTGCCTTTCCCCCAGTTTTTATCTAGAAAGAGCCATAAAACCTACTCCTGCAGCCAAAAGTCTTACTAGTTATATCCAACCCAATTTCAGTCAGACGCTTGCGTTTCTCAAAGCTGACTTTGTCTTGATGCTCTTTTTGTTCTTTGCGCATGATAACTTACGCGTCGATCCCTGCCCTTAGTAAACAAACTCTCTCATCGGAACTTTATAGTTCATTTTGTCATTCCTTTTCTATTCCCGTTTACTTCATTGTTGGTTTGATACTGCAAAGTCGTTCGGTAGCTTAGCATCCTTCTTTCTCAACTAAAATAAAAGTTGTTTATAAATAGTTGGAGAACTGCAGGATTTTACGAATTTGAGCTTCTCTTATTTCCAATAAGAAATTTGTCAATAATAGCTTAGCAAGGTGATTTCTCTTTTTGAAAGTTAGAGGGCCATCGCCAAAGGTTTCGTTTCCATTTTATTCATGTTACACTACAAAATACCTCATAATTCTGACAACACGATAGAATAGAATAAAATATTTTTTACTTATTTAAACACAATGTAAGCTTTCAAGATAAGCTATAAGCTTATGGGACCGCGTATCCTCCATACACACTCGTTACTATATTCGAATATTCTATACACACAGCTCTCACCTCCCTGAAAATAAACACCAAGATGATTTTGTGCAGCATGGTTAAAGCAGATTTATCTAGTGATACCTACTATATAAAATAGACTACACTCTCTTATAAACTGATAAGAGATGTAATCAAACTTACTGTAAGGAGTTCCAAGTACTAACCAATCTTCTCAGGTACGTTATTGTTTATTGATTGCTGTGAGATTACGGTTATGAAAAAGTGGGGCGATGTAGTGATCAAGAGTGAACAGCGCGTACTTGACGAAGATAAAGATGTCATATATTTGTAGTTGACCTGTAGGGATATTACTCTAGTTATAGATTGGGCTGAACTAGATAATTTTAGACAATATAGAAGAAAAAATCAGGTTTTTTTCCACAATTCTATATCCAGGCTAGATCAAAATCAATAGAGACCAGCCTTTAGCATCGGGTTTACTGCTCACCACTAAACGCTAGGAATATGGCCCCGAAAAACGCCCGCAAACACGGGGAAACACTCGGCATCAATGGCATTTAATATGGCGGCTCGTCCAGCAACAACTTCGTTATGACACCTTTCTAAATTTCAAAAGTTTGACGAAAAACGCCTCACGTCAAAYTGCAGTTTGAGGTTTGCTGGGCTAGCGATAACGTCGTGCTAAAGCTCTCTTATTTCGAAAGCCGCACTCAATCCACTTTCTAACGATGGTGCGGGAGATAAAATGAGGGCACTCCCTGCGCGGTCGACACAAAATAGTCATCTACTATGTCGTGAGAATTTTTTATACATTTATTTAAGAACAGATGATTATTTGTCTGTTATATATTGAACACCAAGCTAACTTCTCCCAACACTTTTCAAAATGTTTATGGATAGGTTCTTCAACACTCACACTTCTCCATTCGTTTTTTCCCCTAATTTTATTTTTTTTAAATTATATTTTATACCTCAAGTAAGCTCTCCCAATATTTTTGAAAATGTTTCATGAGAAAATTTTCTTTTTCATTTTCTTTTTTCAGTTGTTTTTCTCGTCGTTTTTCTTTTCCATTTCATATATAGAAAATCGAGCTAAGCTTTCCCAACACTTTTTCAAATCTTTTCTCTGAAATTCTTCAACACACGACAACTGTTGATGCTTATTGTTCCTCCCGTTTTACTGATTGCTCAGCTGATTCCTGAGGCATTGGTATGCAAAACCACACCACAAAGGAGAATATCGTCCATCTCCTCTTTGTCAGAACCAGGTTCCGACACTAGTTTGATCCCAACCAAAAAAATCCAATTTACACCGATTGTTATCTATACCTTGTTTAGGTGTGTCCTCGAGTAGAGTTTAATTTAATTAGTATTTGTGTGGGATAAACCGTGTACAATCACATCATTCCATATACCTGTCAACACCTACAGTCTTACTACTACCGATTTATTGCCAACCTTTTGTCTCACTGACAGAATCCAACCTTCTTGGTACTGACTTAAAGATTAATGTTGTTTTTTAGACTTAAGTGTATTTTTTGTCCTGATTATTTCTTTATTGGCTTAGGATTTCCACTTTTTAGTACAAAATGCTTTTATGATGTTTTAATTTTATCCGGATCACGCAACTCATCGTAGGATTAAGCAGTTTTTTTGGTTTGTGTTTATTCTTTAACATGCAGTATCAGGAAGACAGGCCTTTTTACGTTTCTGAGTGTAATGAACTTGATAGATAACCATCTTGATTGCTAATCGTGTGAATTGAACCAATACTTTGATTGTGCGGGTGGAGAAACTAGAAGTGGTTTTATAGTCTTTGAATTTAATTTCTGTATTATCAAGTCAAAGATAACAGTGTTTATTTTTCTTCTTTTTGTTCCAAAAAGATCAATTCTTTGCCTGATCGTTTTAATTATTTGAATTCAATGTTAGTCTTTAAGRCGAACATTATCATCTATTACATTGTCGCGAGTCGAGTTTGTGAATCTTTCAAAATGAAAAAAGTAAAAAGATATTGGACTGCTATCCTGCCATCTCGAGTGTAATAAACGTTATAGATAACCATCTCAATTGCTTTGTTTTTCCCTATGAACTTCAATGTTGAATGAAATCAGATTGGTAGCATATTTCTTGTAGTATTTGTGGCGAGATCTCTACTTCTAATGTCTGGTTATCAATGTTAGAAGTTGGCCTTTTTCAGTCTAACATATGCAAGACAATTTGCCTTAGATAAGGGCGTCTCATAGACGGTATTGAACATACTATTTCAAACAACCTAAGCTGGAGAGAAMATTGCACAAAAGGTTTCTTTCCTTTCTTTTCTCCGGCGTCTGTCCATTCTTTCCCTTTTCCTTTTTTTTCTTTCATTTCTAAGAGCTACAGAATCGGCTAGTGTTTGAATTCCATACCATCGAAGCATCAAAGTATTTCTTTAGCTTTGTTGCCGGAAAGTTTTTTTTCTTTTTTCTTTATTTCTTTTCATTTCTAAGAGCTACAGAATCGGCTAGTATTTGAATTCCATACCATCGAAGCATCAAAGTACTTCTTTAGCTTCGTTGCCGGAAAGTTTCGTTATGTTTTTGATATGACATTCTTGTCTACAATATTAAAAACACAAAAATGAATAAAAACAGCATCCATTCCACTTAATCTCATTTTCAGCCCATGTTTAACTTCATCCTAGTTAATTAATAGTTCTTTAATTTACAGCTCAGTTCCTTTCAAACTTCATTTAATCAATTAATTCGATTTATGATCTCTTAAAAACTAAAAGCAAGGCGATAATTTTTAGTTCAAATTGGATGACAATTCTTGCTCAAATTTCATCGATTAGATAGTCGTTTTTCTAAGTGCTGGGGTTTTTATTACTAGTATTTATGCCGTCGTGGTCCTCTTTAAGTGCTAATAAATGTCTCATTTTATCATCGAATTGATTTAGTATGTTTTAAAAACCTTTTTGGCTCTTTAGCTAGCTGGAAAAGACGTTCGTTTTCACCTGTGTGGTAAAGTCATTTTTATATCGCTTGAATTGCTTTTAGTACTAATTATTAGAAATCCCTAGAAGATATAATGTGGCGAGGGATAAATGTACAAAGAAAAGGAACAGGATTGATTCAATCCATACTCATGTTTAAGGCGTTGAGATTTTATTTTATTTTTTTTACTTTGCTCTGCTTGTGTAACCCAAATGATCAATCTTTACCTCCTATTTCACTACACTAAAACTACCGGTGTAATACAAAGCTCTTTTTACCATATCCACATGCAGTTTCTGGTGACTACAGGGTCTGTCTAATAAGAAAGCGTTCAATCACTTCATTGATTATTTATCAATAGTTTGCGCTTATTTGCTTGATTCTATAAGAAAGTTTACGAGTTGACTTGATCAAGTGAAGATAGATTACACAAGCACAATAGATGGGAGAGTCTTTTCGTAATATCTATAGAAATGAGGAGTTGGGTTTAGTAATTTTTGCAGTGCTGCCGGAAAAACTTTACTAAGATTATGAACTAAGATCTCATGTAATTGTTTCCTTTGATTTTCAATATTTAGAACTAAAAAAAATTACATTGTTTGGGTCCGCAGAGGCGGAGAATTCAAAGGTCTTCACATTAAAAACCCCACTCTATTTTGACATTTATTTTTGGATTGTTTTTAATAATTGAAGCTGAAATTTCTTTTCTAAGTTGGAAAACACRCATGAAAGCTTGACTTTTTTTTACTTTTGAGGGATGAAACAAGAAAAAAAAAGCTTTTGTAGTTTTTTGTTTTTGATTTTTTTTCGCCTAAGAACGAGGACCAAATCGTCCTGCTTTAGACAAGAGAACTTTGTCGATCAAAGACAGTGTTGAAATCGTCTGCTGCAGAAATAAAACGAAAAAATAAAAACGAATTTAAAATGAATCCAGCTATTAAAAAAAGAACCCTTTGTCTTGATTTCAATCTCGAAAAGATAAAAAGTATGTTTATTATATGTACTTATATTCTTCTTCTTTTAGCATCACATAAAAATCTCAATGAATACGAAATTGTGATTTTATTCCAAAGCAAAAAAAGCAAATTCTAATAGACTGTGATTTTCGTTGACCATGGCTCACTCGCAACGGTGTCATGAAACAACAGCTATTGAAACATCAACTGCAAGCTGTCTGCATTTAAGATTTAATTGACTGAAAGAGCGCTCTTTTAAGAACAATAAACCGCTTTGAAAAGAATAACATCACGTTGAGAAGGCTTCTGAGTGTGAATCATTGACTGCCCGAAACTACTGTTCAAATTCAGCGAGAATGAAGTGAATTGTGTTSAAGTTTTATGGTCTTGTCGCGAATTACAAAAAAGGTGATGCTTATTCAATTAACAGCTACTTCCACGCTTGTGTAAACACTATAAAACGGTAAATCTTGGACACCAAACCCGGACTGTTGTTTTCTTTAGGTAAACTAGCCTTGTGTGTCTTATTCGTACGGTGTGGCTTGAGTGGCACCTAATAATCAAACGCACAGAACTCACGCCAGTTTATTTTAATCTGCAGGCCCAGCGAAGCGTTGCACGGTTTTATTAGGTATTTTATTATCAATATCTGCTATGTTCGATTTTAATCATCTAGCCTTTTGTTTACAGTCTGACGGTGTTGGCGTCAAGAGCTTTGAATTGAGGGCTCTCTTTATCAAACAACCGGGCCAATTATGAACCGATGGTTTGATACCCGACAAGTTCTAGTTGTTTCCAATGGACTGTCAAGCGAGCGAATAGCTTTGAACAGAGCCCATCATTGCAAGTGTCCATTCATGGATCTTATTAAAAAAAGGGAGAGTTTTGAAAGTCGTGGATAATAAGTCTAACGGTGGCTGTTTAGTCAGAACCGGAGGTATAAATGCATGAAGATCCGGTCATACAAAAACAACACGTCAATTGAAAGGCCTCAGCAGAATCCCTTAATGAACAACAAAATGATCAAATCTTCCTGACACTTCCGCTTTTTTTAGTGAGCAGAGCAAGCACAAACAGCCATCAAATACTCTTCTGGGGCTATTTCTGTCCTGATGTAAATAAGTCTTGACACATGAATCACTAGGGCTGTTGTGAAGTCATTGTGATGGTGTTCTTGGTGTTTATCAAGGAACACCCTCAATAGTTTAGCGGCTCTCAGCAGGTCAACACCAAATGGTAATCCAACTGCCAAGTGACATGCGACGCTATCATGCTAATCTGCCGCAGTCATTGCTATCTTTATGGTTCATTTTTGTCCTTCACTTCTTCCAATCCTTGAGTTAGGAGAGGATTTGGAGGCGCTCTTGTTTCTGCAGCTTGGGATGTCCTTATCGCTTAGCAGTATTATCGGCTTACCTTCAAAATCACGCCCATCTTCCAAAACCACTAAATCCCCAAAGTCCTGATGTGGTTTCATTCTTGTTTAGTTTTTCACGCGATTCCATGAAGCTTCATTCGCACCTTGTTTTCTCTCCTAAAAGGACGAAATTACCATCGCTTTTGTTGCTAGAGTTTAGCTTGCCTCTAATTCACCACCATAATGGCAGTTAATCAAAAAAAGTGGTCACTATAAACTTAAACCTTGGTTATTTTTTCATGTGTTCGCTTTTTGCCGGCTGTCTTTATGCCGCTAGTGTTTGTTCTAGTTTATTGCTTTTTTGACTCAGACCGCCGGTAAAGTAAAACGATTTTGCTTATTAAAAACTAGGAAGATGAAAGTAGCACCCTTGGACACTAGAAGTAAAACAGGTACTGAGATTGTTATTTGGGTTATTGATTATTTACAGTTCTAGAAAGATTTCATTGTAGCCAATAAGGCTGGAATGCAGTTCTTCCTGCTTCAGTGACTGTAATAAAACCGGCTATCCCAAGGCAAGGTTTCAATATCGTCTGCAATAATACACAAACGATGGGCGGTCGTTGTTTAGAAAGTTTAATAAGATAAGCAAACGGTTGGCATGTGATAAAGACCGACCGATGAAATAAGCACCGTTTTAGCTCTTAAACAAGCAAGTTTTCACTCAAAAAAGCTTTTTTTGTGGATTCCAGAGGGGATTCGAGCGAGAAAGTCTTAATTTACAGCGTCGAGCGGATGCAAGCGCGCGCAGAAGTGAGGCAGATCGGTGTAATATCCCGAGAGATTGATTTAATAGAATCACTTGAATGATCGGACAAAATTACCGACCCTCGTGTTTTATTGGCTCTGAGTCGGTTTTGGTCTTTGTTAAGGAGATTAATAGGTCGTGACAGATTCAATTGCTTCAACTATGGCACCTTAATACCTTGGTCCGGAAAACTTTACTGTGAAGTACACCGGTTACACAGACATATATTCATTTGGCCACTACGACCTGCTCGAGTTTGGCCACGAGCTGCTCACACTATCAAAACCGGTCTTCAAGGAATGGCATGTTTTCTTAGCCAAAGGCAAATCAATATGAAACACTTCGTGCGAAATCGTGTACACCGAAGAAAGAGCGATATCTACCAAGCTGTAACTACTGTCTGCCGTATCATGCAAGATGTTCTCAAACATGTCGAGGCCTTGGAACCGCGCTTCATCTCATCCCTTAAACAAGTCGATGGACGCTATGCTGGACTTCAAGTCCTCTCACCAAGGCATCTCGAGGTGAGCTTGTTTCTCAATCAAATGGGAGTATTTAATTTTATCGACGATGGCTGTCCATCTGGCTGTGCTATGTTAAAGCTGAGTGACGAGCGTAAGAGGTCGATGTCACTCTGGACTGAGTTCATAACCGCGTCTGGCTATCTCTCCGCACGTAAAATGCGCTCCAGGTTTACTTCGCTGGTTTCTGAAGCCATCCGACGAGGCAACCTTCAAGCTCAAGTACGTATTATTTCAACGAACAGTTTCTCTACTGTTCTAAGTGTGACGGATATTTATACAGTTGAAATTGTCCCTGCTTTTCGTTGCGGGTCGATATGGCCCCAAAACACATGTGTTTGGCCAACACTGGGCACAGCTTGGCCAAGCCAGCCAGCCATAGCGAACGTCAAAATGCGGGGTTTTAACTTGTTAGCTCGGGATCCTTATCCTGCAGCCAAACCGATCAACACCGAAGGCGATGCTTGGGTCTTGTCATTTACGGAAGCAGAGGAACTCTTGCTAAGCGGTGGATGCCGAAAGCTGTGTGTAAGCATGTTGAAGGCTTTGTGCGATAAACATCTTAACATCACTGGAGATCCAATCGAATACGTTCATCTAACAAACTTAGTCCTGTACGAATGTGAAAAGCATCCGAGGGAATATGAATGGGATGAAGACTGCTTGTTCGACAGAATCAATGGGGTATTACTCCAGCTGGTCTCCTGTCTTCAATGCAGAAAATGTCCTCATTTTTTTTTAAAGGGCGTCGACTTATTTAATGGAAAATCCAAGACTTCGTTAGATCAAGCAGCCAAGCAAGTATGGATTCTAGCTCGAGACTTGACGACAAACCCTATAGGATTTGAATCGTTATGAAATATTTGTACCTCATAACTGAGACTTGCCTCTTGAGAATGTCCATGGGAGTATCTACTCCACCCCAAGGTCACTGTTGAACGTTTACATGTGCCCTTAATACCAATACAGCACCTTCCGGAGGTCAAGAACCGTAGTGATTAATAAGAAATAGAGTTCAAGGACCTTAAGCTATGATGTTAAAAGATTTATTTAAATCAAGTGCTATATCTAAGGTTATATTTAGAGCACAAATGTACCAAGTACAAAATATTATTAATTTATTGAAGAATATAATGATATTAATGAATTACTATTTTTGGTGGTGTTTGATATTTGAAGTTTGTTTTATAGTGATTGTAAGTGTTTTTATCCTGTATGACCTGTTGAGGGTCTGTAATCAGTTATTTAAGAAAGGTTGATGGATGTTTTGTAAATGTTTTCTATTTGATGGTAAAGGGCGTTACTTGTACAGGAAATGAAGATGGTAATAGTCCATTTGTCTTGCAGGTTGACAGCAGAGAAATCACTAAATTAAGCTCCTCTATTATTAATAGTTTTCTACCGTTTCCTTTCCTTTTAACTTTCCTTTCCTTTTCTTTCCTTTCCTTTCCTTTCCTTTCCTTTCCTTTCTCTTCTCTTCTCTTCACTTCTCTATTTAGTTTTCTCTTTCTCTTTCCCTTTCTTTTTGTTTTGTTTAGTTTTCTATTTTGTATTCTTTTTCTTTCTTTATGTTTTCTTTCCCCTTTTTGTTGCTTTTTCCTTTTATATTTTTCATTCATATTTAATTTTTGTTTCCTTCTTTGCTTGTTTTGTTTTGCTTTCAGTTATTCTCATTTGTTTCATTTCTCTATTCTCTTTTTTAAAGTTGTAGTACTTCTCTCATCTTTTTGACATAATTTTAAATAATGTCTAGTTTTTTTAATTCAATTTTCCTTATTATTTTTTACTTTTCTTAGAAGTCATAAACTTTTTCACCCCATCCTCTTTCCTTTTCAAAAAAAACTTTTTTTAGAATAATTTAGTATGTGTTCTTGTAGAATTTCAAATACTCTTGATTCAACTTTAATGTCTTCCTCATGCTCTACAGACGAACATTCTCGCGGTAATTTGCGCCAATTCGAGGAAGAAACATTTCTATTGTTTTTTGCGGCCAGCAAAGCCTTTCTTTGTCTTCGCTTTAATTTTCGGTTTCTCTTTCAACTTTTTTCTTAATTTCATCAATAATAGCATTAAAATGATGGTAATCCTTGAAACTATTTCTGTCGCGAAAGAAAATGAAAATACGATTCTGATTTCGAGCACGTGGCTCAAAATGGCCACAGTATTTGACTTTATAACGAAGCTAGTTTTTAGTGTCGACAGTATCGTTCATTAATGCTTTATCAATTCTTTGTATTTCATTTCTAACCATTTCTATATAATACTTTATTTAAGTCAGCTGCATTTAAATTTTACAATTTTTAGGATTTACACGAATCCTATTCCAAAAGAAAAAGTGCCTTGCTTATTACAAAGTTTTTCTCACAGATAAATTGTATCTGCTTATTTTTCAAGTGAACATGTATTTTTAGAGAAGAAAAATGAAATGTTTGCACGAAGTTAACAGCAGATTTACTAAAAAAGTAATACTTTTCTAACTCTGCCATTTCCAATGAACAACAGGTCGGTCACACATTTCTACATGAACTTTCTTTAAACCCCAAAAAGAATAAAATCGGGCAAGTTTCAAGATTGAATAAGCTCTCGTATATTTGCTATTCAACGTACGTCTACTTTTAACAGACAACGTATCACTTTTGCCTCTTTGCCAGCGAAGTTTACAACAACAACGTTTTATTCAATATTTCTATTATTCCAAAAAGTAGTTTATCCTTCTTAGTATTGACAATGATAGTATCCCAACGAATTGTCTTTGTCAGCCAAACTATCCAGACCTATTTATCTAATTTTTTCTATCGTTATTTAACATTTTTGTTAGTTCTTTTAAAACATTTCAACTTGTTCTTAAAAAACTTGTTTTACGTTATCCAAAATCCAAAACGAAGTTTTTACAAAATCGGGAACGCGTTTTATTTAGACAGTTTGGTAGGGAATTTACTCAAGCTGTTATTGTATTTTTACTTAAGTTAAGTTGTACTAGATTTGCAAAATTATCCCCCAATAAAGCTTCATTATTTCTTGATGAAAATAATCCGTTCTTCAAGTTAGGGCATTGATAATTTTTGACTTCTATTTCCTCTGTGTTCTAATTGAAATCTTTACATTTTAGATTAAAAACCTTATCAGCAATATGAAGATCTTTCGTCTCTAGTTTGTTAATTGCTTCGTTGTCAAGTATTAGATGGATTGGATAATTTAAAATATATTAACTTGGCATTGGAACCCTCGCGCTCCTAACTTGCGTAAACTGAAACTAAAAAAAAGAAAGAAAAAAAAAAAAGAGAAAAAACCTGAAAGACCAACAATTATACAATATTCCTTTTCACCACTTACTTTGCCAAGGTTTATTGACTTTATTTTAAGAAAATATTTGCGAATCTATTCTTGTAGGGAATAGTTATTCTCGTTCACTTTTCTACTACTCGAATGGCTTCTTTTTAAATAACTAAAAAAAAAACATCTTCATTACAAATCATGTCTAGAATAACTCAATCATTCGACACAGCTTTCATAAATTTGTGTTTTAGTTCCTTTTATTTTTAATTAAACGTACTAATTATGCATTTCCTTTCGGAACAAACATTCAGTTTACCCTGGCGGCTCGATAGAGCTGCTCCAAGAGACGGGATTGAGCTGTTAAAGTGTTAAACGTTCGCGTCGTCTAATTTTCTAGAGTACTTGTCAACAGTATTATTTGAACACGTATCCTTCTTGCGATAACAGTTATCGAGTATCTTCTATTCGTAACCAAATAAAGTCTCTTGTCAGTCGTTTTCCACTTATACTAAAATTGGTTCACATTTCTAGTTTACGCTGTCTTCATTTGTTGCGTTTGCCCTCATTTCAGCGTAGTTTTCTTAAGAGTTTTTCTATAGGACGAGACATCTTTGCGGCTGAATTGTTAAGTATCTGCTGTTTGGATTAGCGCTCCTTAAACGATAATGTCGAGATGATAATTTGAATGGAATCTTCTCGTTTTTCTTGAGATAACCGCGTGACGTCATAATACGTATCGCGGGCTTCGCGGCAGTCAATCACAGCGTTCCCGCGGCGCCTCAACAACGAGCCTTGGATAAGTGGATCAAGAGCTTTCCTCCAATAAGACCAGCTAAACGAGATATCGTCGGAAAAATTTGAAAATTAGAAACATTTGCATGGCGAAACAAAAGGAATTAACATCAAATATTTGCAACTTTGTTAGGGTTGTAATCCCACAAGCAAGAACCGCTCAATATACGGCTCTCACTCGTACAAATCCCTATCTTACCTCTTATATGAAAAGCGAGATTATTATCTAATTATGTGACCCCCTCGTGGTCTTCTAATATTCGTTTTTCTTAATTTTGTTTCGGTTTTGAGTTGAACGAAATAAACCGCTTAAGCGCAAATTTGGCGGGAATTTAAGAATTTCTTACCGCGCGCGCGCGTCAAGCCATGTCACCATAGTAACAAGGCCACTCTACGTCAATGCAGTATTTATAGGTCTAGGAATAATTATTTTAAATTCTTTAAACGAAAATAAGTAGCACTTAATAAACGTTCTGTTAACAAGAAGATATAGTTTTAATATGGGTTTTAAGACGGAAATCACGGAAATTAGTCAAATAAATCCTGAAAGAGTTTTTAAAATAGGAAGATTATATTTTTATCGACGATTTACGAATTTAGTGTTTTTGTCGGTTCGTTAATCCTCTGTTGGCTTCTGGTATTATCGGATACACATTATCATAATTAATTTGAGTTTCTTCCAGAGGCTTTGACTGTTTCCGTCAGTTTGTTTATCAACTAATGTCAGTCAGGTCGTTATTGAATCCAAGTGTTTTTTCGACTGATTGTTTAGAAGTCTAGACGTGTTTATCTGTCTATGTTGATAGGTTTGTCAATGCGGTGTGATTGTGTGTGCGTGTGTGTGTGTAAGAGGGGGCGAGTGTGTTAACTCCAGTAACCAGTATCTATCTACCAGCTATAGTGTTGCTCAGTGTGACCCCTGGATGCTCATTTGACTTCTTGCATGCTAGGTCAAGAGATTTATCCTAGTATTTCAAGAATCAAACGCAGATGTCTAGAGTCTCTTATTAAATATTAATGAGTCATTCTAACAATATAATGTCAGTAATATAGTGTACGCCAAAAGATATTCTTTGGTCGTTAGAAAATACTTCGTAAATCATTCATGGCATTATAGTGTTGGTCCAGGGCAAGAGAATATTCTCTTGTCCAAGGTTAAACGCAGAATTTCTAAGGAGTTGCTAAGTTCAATAAACAGGATGCATTGTGGTCTAGCTTTGTTAAAACAACACATAAGGCATGATGGAAGAAAAAAGTTTGTACCGATTTTAGATCACATAAAAAGCATATTTGATAAATATTGGATAAAAGATACCCCTCTAAATATTTGTTGATTGGGTCCTACTGACCTTAACTTCCGTTCTCTGTRCTATATGTGGATACAGCTTGGCTATTGGAAATCTTAGGCCATCTAGAAAGACCAGTAATAACAAGCGCAGATGCGATTCAAGAAGCACCTCGCTTGCTGTAACCCGTTCTATTATTGTACCAGATTCCTTCTTATTTGTCTTCCAACATGGTGTAAACTGTCGCGTTTATTCCTCAAGGTCTATCACATTGTGTTTCAGGTTCTGCTTTATTTGGATGGTCTGCAAGGCAAATGGCCTGTCGAACAAATCAAGGCTATCTTTTCCAGGAGATATTTACTACAAAATTGTGCTACGGAGATTTTCTTTGCTGGTGGATGTAAGTCATGAATTATACGAGTAGATTGCACATAACTGTAAAACGGGACGGCACAGGCACGGCACGGAATTGACAACATTCTGTAAACCTATCACAACACGCTAGATACTGGATTGATTAAAAGCTCACTCCTCATTTAATTAAAATGCTAGCGCTCGGGTGCGGCGCCGTTACGGTAACGGAACGCCAAGTCACAGTGGCCAGAAGGACCCAGGTCTCCCAAGCATCGAGGGGGGACGGGGAGGGGGGCTCAGGAAAGTGGCTGACTACCCATTCCCTTAAACCTTAAATAATCAGTTAATTTAGCAGTCATGTAATCAGGAACTCCGTCTAATAAATGATCTTTATAGTCAAATAAACACCTTTATTTATCTCGTTTTTAGCTTCTGCGATGTTCAAGTTTTCTGATCAACAGACCGTGAAGAAAGTGGTGAGGGCACTTCCCCCTGTAGGGGTGGGGTCGTTCTATGGAGTCACACAAACAAGGTACCCGTAATACATCTCATTACATTATGAATTTCATTTACTGACTTCTATCACCAAAATAACGGTTCAGTAACAAGGGGCTGCTGTTGTAGGCTTGTGTTTCAGGAAGCTGTAGGTGATGCTTTCTAGCGTAATCTGGAATTCTATTTAACGATTGCATCGGCATCCCGAATGGACCTTGGGGGCAAGAAGTTTAACTGTTTTAGTATAAACTAAATAAATGGATACACCCAATCTTGAATTTCGGTTGAAATGATTTTTTTTCTTTTTGCGTTTTATCACTTAAAAAAACACTAGTAGCTTAGCCAATCAGAGCATAGAATTTGTGATAGACCATAAGACGGTTTATAATAATATATAGTTATGCTGCCATATTTCAGAGCCGCTTCGCTATATTCTCCAAAACAACTTTTCCAGAAGTCCACCATGACACAACGATGGCAGCGAGGAGAGATCGATAACTTCCAATATCTCATGTTCCTTAACACCATAGCGGGTATGTGACGCATACAGAAATGTTTGGAAGCAGTTGTATGGCTGCCATTAGTGAATTTCCTAGTCGGTTCTATGAGGGTAGTTAAGGGTGGGGTCATGACCGGTTACCGTGGTTAGTAATGCCTTTACTGGATTCAAAGAAATCTAAATTCAATATGCTAGAAAGACGATTGACCTCACACTTAAAAGCTCTATATGTTAATTTACCTCTTTACCTTGGGCGTAATTTTCCATTTCAAACCACGTGTCATTCCTTGAGAATAAGATTCTTTGTTTGAGTTGGTCCATACTCACGTGTCTCCTCAAGCACAACCATTAAACAAAGAAATGATGCTCAAGGGAAAGAAGTCTATGAAACGCCTAATTTCCTTTATTGTTTTTGTTGTTAGGACGCACTTACTGTGATTTGAACCAGTATCCAGTCTTCCCGTGGGTGTTAACAAACTATGACTCGCCAACTATTGATCTGAAAGATCATAACAACTACAGAGATCTCTCTAAGGTTAGTGATCCCTTAAGATTTCTCTTGCTATCCTGGGGATCACCAGGATTTTATCGACTCCTGAATGACCAATTCCCTGTTTGTAACGTAGATTTTAAATGTCTTCTTTGAGAGAGATTGAAGGGATTAATCAAACAAGCGAAAGATAGACATGAATGAATGAGATAAGATGAATGAATGTGATGAAATAATTAAATGGACGGACGGACGGCAAGCGATCGAGCGGGTGATCAGGCAGGCGATCTAGGGGAGCGGAGGGATTAGTTCCTGTCTTTAGCCGCAAATCGTGCTTGGTATATTTCCATTGTCTGTTATCGAATAACCTGGCGGACCCATTCCTTACTTTAGCAAGTCATGCTCGGTTTTTATTGTCATTGATCCAACAATTTTCCCCTTATCCATTTTGTTTGTTTGTTTAGCCCATTGGTGCTTTGAACCCAAGTCGTCACAGTCAGTTCGTAGAGCGCTACGCATCTTGGGACGAGAATGATGACATTCCTCCATTCCACTACGGTACTCACTACTCTACATCAGGATTCACTCTTGCTTGGCTCATACGCTTGGTAAGTTTATAAGCACACTGCTTCTGAAGGCTATTTCAGCGTGTTTTATATTTGTCCATACTGTAAGTTTAGCCTTGTTTTTTTACTAGCGTCTCGAGTGTTGCATGATATTTTCATTTACCTCCACATTAGCGGCATTAACGCTTGTTTCTGTACTTCTCTACACTTGCATTTGCATTTGTACTTGCGCTTATTTAAGCAGTGTTATCGAGGCCAAGAGAAGCTAAACAATGAGTACACTCTCTGCCTTGTAGGAACCTTTTGCAACCATGTTCCTTAACCTTCAAGGCGGTAAATTTGACCATCCCGGTAGAACGTTCTGTAGCATTCAGAGGGCTTGGAATAATTGTCAAAGGGATACCTCAGACGTCAAGGTAAGATCGTGTAGCTGTTCAGTAAATGTAAAACGAGATTTTAAAAATTGCATCGTATTTTAGGCTTGGGAATCGTAATTTTAATCAAAACAGTTAGACCTGCAGCACAAGTGAGCCATTTGACTCACGAACTAGTCAGGCAGTGATTATAGATGGATTATAACAGATATCTACCAGTGGGCTGTTTCTAAATACTAAAAATAGCAGGGACAATCTTAATGCTGGATTTGTTATAGCCCATTAGCTTGTTTGACTCTCATTTCTTATCATCATTACTTCCTTAGGAACTGATCCCTGAACTTTTCTACCTTCCTGAAATGTTCCGCAACAGTAACAGGGTAAGATTAAAAGTACTAATAGCCCTTAGTAATATAGTCATGTATGTATCGATGTAGTTCAGTCTGTGCCGTGACCGTGTCACGTGCAGTCATCTTTCGCGCTGATATAAAATCATAGTTGATAAAATCCACTTCAAGCAGCGAAGTATTTATATTTATTTGTTGTACTTTCCTGACAAACCAAAAGGATGCGATACTTGGTAAGCCTGCTTTAAAACTTGATTGATATTTAGTTTGATTGAATTTGGTTTGCTTCTAAACAGTTCACATTTGGAGTAGACGATGACGGGACGGTCATCGATGACGTAGATCTTCCTGTATGGGCGTCGTCTGCTGAACATTTCATCACCTTGCACAGGGCGGTAAGATATTCATTTGATTCTCTGTATTCTTTAGTATGAAAGTCATGCGCACCCTCTTCCCCTCCCCTCCCCTCCCCGACACAACAACACACACATGTAATACTAGTCTTATAGATTGTTGTTTTTTATATTGCAGGCTCTCGAGTCAGATTATGTTTCACTAYATCTACATGAATGGATTGACCTAATCTTCGGCTTCAAACAAAGAGGTACAGTAGACAATAATCAAGTTCAGCTTGCAGAGTCTCCCACAGACGAATCCTGTGAAAGAAATAGTAGATGTCTTGATGCACGATGTCTCGTCAGAATTTTCATAAGAAAGACATAAGGGCCAGTGGGTTATCAGTATGATTTTTTAAATTATAACTGTCGTGTGTTACCCCCTTGAATTAAAGATCATTCATTCACTCTTCTAGTAGGAAAGAGATGAAAGACGCGAGAGCTCAATAGCACTGCCTCACAAAGGACTATTAATAAGACTGGTGTTTTTATCTTCAGGTCCTGAGGCTGTTAAAGCAACGAATGTGTTCTTTCATCTGACGTATGAAGGCAGTGTTGATCTAGATTCCATCAGTGATCCCGTCATGAAAGAGGTAAGACAATGTTTATGCGTATTAGGTTAAGACTAGGGAACCCTGTGTTGTTAAGGAGAGGAAGCCTGGAGAGAGAGAGAGTCGTCGTTTGTTTCGTAAAGAAAGCGTGTCGTACAAGATATAAATGTAAAAATGACATAACGATGAAAGGTATGCTACACTTACCGCAATAAATAACCGTCTTTCTTCTTCTCGCTATTTCTTTTTCCCCGACTTCTAATTTTTATTTTCTTTCTTTCTATATTTCTTTTTTGTTTGCCATTTTCCCTTTTCCCATTTTTCTTTTCACACCCTCTTCCTTCCCCCACCCCTCTTTTCATTCTCTTCCTCTTCCATTCTTCCTTTGTTATTGATATTTACCTTCTTGATCTTCTACTCCTTTAATCCTTTTTACTTTCTTTCTTTCTTTCTCTCTTTCTTTTTTGTTTTTGTTTGCCAATTTCCCTATTCCCATTTTTTCTTTTCATACCCTCTACCTTTTCCTCCACCTTTTCATTCTCTTCTCATTCTTCCTTTGTCATTGATACTTACCCTCTTGATCTTCTACTCCTTTTATCCCTTTTTACTTTCTTTCTTTCTCTCTTTCTTTTTTGTTTTTATTTGCTATTTTCCCTTTTCCCATTTTTTCTGTTCATACCCTCTACCTTTCCCCCCACCTTTTCATTCTCTTTCCATTCTTCCTTTGTCATCGATATTTACCTTCTTCATGTTCTACTCCTTTTCGACCCTCTTTTCCTCTCTTACCTTTTTTCCCGTCATTAATTTTCTCAATTCCCTTTTATTCCTTTTCATTGCTTTTCTCTGCCTTATCCCACTTTCTCATTTTTTGCTCTCTATGTTATCACTTTATCTTCTTTTTCTTTCCCTCTTCCCCCCTCTTTTCATTCTGGTTGATTGTTTTTACTGTGGTTTCCAGGCTGTACAGCAGCAAATCAAGAGCTTTGGACAAACACCATCACAGTTATTATTAGAACCTCATTTACCTCGTATCACACCAGAACAACAGGTTTGTTAGCAAAAGAGCAACACCACCGTATCAGTATAGATGTAAAAACGTTTTTCGTATTATCGTATCGTCTTTTTGTGAACCCTATTTTTCTTCTTATTTCAGGCCCTACTCAATAAAGAGCCATTTAAGAGTAAGTCTTAATATTTTAATGGAATTGAGAACTGCATCACAATCATAATAGCAAAAACAGACATGTTATAATACATGCTATTTGGAACGAAGAAATAGAAAAAACGCGCGTGGGTGCTCTGCAGTTTTAAAGTACACGCAGATACTAATCCCCAAGTACATTTATATAACTCCACTCAGTACAGCAAGCGTTTTTTAAAATACGAAATAGAATAGCCGTTTTTTCCTATAGCAAGGATGCAACTGGAAGTACGCACACGTGCTTTGTGCTCTCACAAACCACGCGCTCTCAACCAATTACAAAGCGAAATTCATACCATTTACAGACCGTAAACCGCCGAAAATAAGCCCTGGGTCTTAGAACAAAAGAAAAACAATAGAATCATGTTATAAGGGACTTATTTTCGTAGGTTCACGGTATATTATAATTGTGTAGATCCACTGCGTAACCGTGTGATTTTTGTGGTGTATATACAGGTATATACTTAACATTCAAGGTAACAGAGAATGTACCTGTAACATACGTTGCTGCGCACACAGCTAATCATCAAGTCTATCCCGCCGTGGTCACCATCAGTTGTAACCAGTGCTTTTCTATCAATCGCTGGGTGAATATAGGTAAGATTGATCTAAAAATACTGAACTTGATAGTCACGTGGTTTAGTCAAAATACCAGTGACGTCAACATCGCGCTTCCAAGGCAACCAGATGTCAAAACCACATTTTGTTTTTTTTTATTTATATGTTATGGCGTTGCTAAGGTTTTGGTTTGTTTTTGAATGACTTTTCTGGCTTTTTGAAATTCGCTGATTGAAAAAGATTCCTTAATTCTAAGTCGTTGAGATTATTTGTATTAGTTTTATATGATGATGACGATCACGACGACGTCTATTTTCCCCAGATTCGTTGCAAAGTCTTCGTGGAGCTCAGATAGAACAGGATCCCATGCTAGGTAATCTTTCCTCTCATACATATATTTCAGTTATTTCATTTATTTGTTTATAGATATTAGATAGTATGCACGCTCTGATTGGTCGAGAACTGTGCTTTATAAGTGTACGAAGCACGGCTGCTGAGGCGTTCTTACATCATTTCCTGCGTGCTTTATTACTAAGCGGAGCGCGTTAAAAGCTGTTTTATCAAAAAACAAAAGCATCGAGAAATACAGTAGAACTGAACCAACTGCTAAGAACCACTAGACAAAAACCAATACAAATGTTTTCTTTCCATAGCGACTCCTGCGGGTCGTCAAAGACGTCAGCTTGGTGAACCACTGGATCAGAACGTCACCCCAAGCGCCTCCTGTTTTGTTGTCACTGGTGATAACAGGACGATTATGGCGTGCGGCTACTGGGATAACAGTTTTAAATGCTTTTCCACTGATAGCGGTATGTTTACAGGTTTTGGGTCGAGCAATTATTATGAAAATGGGTACAAAAACAGATCCAAGATAATGTTGGTATAGTGTTGTTACAACATGGATATTTTTCCCCCAGGTAAATTAACACAGTGCGTGTTTGGGCACTGGGACGTGGTCATGTGTCTTGCCTACAATCAACACGCTGGTCTGATGGGAGGTTATGGGATCGTAGTGTCAGGATCACGTGACGCAACACTGTTGGTGTGGCACTGGAACGAACGGATGCAGAGAATTGTCGCGACGGACGGATCAACTGGTGAGTGCCTCTTCGCTACGCAAGTACGGTATAACTGTAGGGAATGAGGACGAGAAAGGGTTTAGGGAAAGAAGGGAAGTAAATGGACGTGGAGGGAGATGGAATTAAAATAGAAGCGGGGAGGGACAGGGAGGTGAGAGCAGAGGCATGAAAAAATGAAAGAGAGATATAGATAAAAAGGAGTAGAGAAGGAAGACAAAAAAAAGAGACGTAGAGTGGGAGAGAGAGAGAGAAAGAGAGGAATGGGGAGACGAGGACAAAGAGAGATTGAATTAGAGAAGGAGAAGGTGAGGGAATGTTAAAGAAATAGGATTGTAATATTGTTTTGTCTCAAGGAGGGATGTATTGCATATACATTTAATTTTGGACATCAATGTTTTGTAGATGCTAGTCCATCTCCTCTGGCGATCTTGACCGGCCATGAACAGCCTATCACTTGTGTAGATGTCAATGCGTCATTAGGACTAGTGGTTAGTGGATCACAAGGTCAGTAAACATTTATCTTCATCCAATAAATAAAGGATTATGCAGTATACCACCTTCCGCTAACTCAACAATAGACCGAATTTCGAGTTCCAAATTACCGCTGTGTTCCTTGATTACAGACTCATTTACACAGGATTAGCCTCGAATCAGTGTCTAATTATTCACAAATAACAACGGTAAAGTAAAGAATGCATGCACAACTTCAACAATACAAACACTTTGAAATTCCACGGATCTTCACTGAAACACGTGAATATTCTGCACAAATTCGAGGCTAACCCTAAGCAACACGGAACTCGAAACTGGAATATATAGATCAAATGTGTTAGTCAATCGTTCCCTTATTTAGACCAGCTCTCATTTTAATCGTTTATAAAAAATCTTGTTATTCTAGAGGGTCCCTGTTTGGTGCACACCCTGACAGGGGATCGTCTCCATATTCTCTACGSACCAAGTGACTGCATTAGACCACGTCTGGTTCGTCTACTATCATCGGGTATGATACTAGTCAACTATACAGACAACAGTGGTCACCTAGCAGTCTTTACTATCAATGGCATGATGATTGAGGCCAAGAAACTAGATGATCATGTGCTGGTAAGACATCCAAAAGATCTTTTTYGTAAGAGAGGCCAATATTTTTTTGGAGGGATGGGGACGGGAACATTGTCACGAGTGGCTAAGCCCTAGGGGCAGTGACATCGTTCCTAAATGAGTGAACATTGCATTGCATATTGCGCAGACACATATCACTTTTAATGTGATATGTGTTGCAATCCGTTACGACTTTATCCCTTCCACCTCACTAAAAAGCATCATTTCCTCCATATTGGTATCTTACAACAATACCGTATATTATCGTTTTTACGTCGGTTATGCTTTTATGGTCGCAGGCCATTGCAGTTTCCAAGGATGGTTCTTTTATGTTAGCTGGTGGATTCAGTCGATACTTGACAGTATGGCGGACTCATGACTTGGCCTTAATCCATACTTATCCACCCTGTGATGGGAGTATTCGTGCCTTGGCGATATCCACAGATGAAAAGTAAGCTAAAGTCTTGCATTGAAGAAAGTTGCTTAGAATACTACCTGCCTACTGCTTCCAAGCATACCCTATCCTTCCTAAACCCAATACACTGCACCACACACCTCACCACTGTCCACACCGCACTACACCGCACTACGACCACCCGCACCACACTACGGCACACCACACCGCACCACACCACACTGCACCACACCACACTGCACCGCACCACACTGCACCACCCCACACTATCCTCCACAAACCACACCACACCACACCACACCACACCACACCACACCACA